CTCGCACAGTATGCAGATGGCGACTTTTGTGCATCTCGTCAGTCTACACAGCGTGCACTTGATATCAGTCGTAAAGTTTTGGGAAAAAAAACACTCAAGCACAGCTGACAGTTACCATTTACTCGGAGTCACACAACATAAACTAGGCGATTTTTTCTAAGCTCTTAGTCTGCACAGTGTGCACTGGATATCAGGTTTAAACTGTTTGGAGAAGAACACTCAAGCAAAGCCGACAGTTGCCACGCACTCGCGCTCACACAATATAAATTGGGCAAATTTTCCTGAGCTCTTCAGTCTGCACAGCGTGTACTGGATATTAGGCTTAAACTGTGTGGAGAAGAAACCTCAAAGACAGCTGACAGTTATCAATCACTCGGGGTCACACAAGATGAACTAGGCGACTTTACTTTAGCTCTTTCGTCTAAACAGCGTGCTCTTGGTATCAGCCTTAAACTGTTTGGACAAGAACGCTCAAGCACAGCTGACAGTTGCCATTCACTCTTGATCACGCAACATAACTAGGCGACTTTATCTCAGCTCTTCAGTCTGCACAGCGCGCTCTGGATAGTAGGCTTAACTGACTGTTTGGAAAAGAACACTTAAGTACTGCTGACAGTTACTATTTACTCGGGGTCACACAACATGAATTAGGCGACCTTACTTCAATTCAGCTCTTCAGTCTAACCAGCGTGCTCTTGATATCAGGCGTAAACACTGTTTAGAGAAGAACGCTAAAGGATAGCTGACAATTTCCATTCACTCGAGCTTACACAATATGCGCAAGGCGAATTTTCTACAACTTGTCAGTCTACACAGCGTGCACTTGAGATCAGGCGTAAAGTTTTGGGAGAAGAACACTCACGCACAGCTGACAGTTACCATTTACTCGAGCTCACACAATATAAAGTAGGCGACTTTTCCTCAGCTCTTCAGTTTGCAGAGCATGCATTGGATATTTGCCTTAAACTGTCTGGAAAAGAACACTCAAGCACAGTTGACAGTTACCATTAGCTCAGGCGTACAAAGCATAAACAAGGTGACCTTTTGTCAGCCTTGCAGTCTAAATAACTGAAAGTCACCGTTTACTCCCTATTATAGAAACATGTTGTTCAGTCCACAAACTTTTTATTTTCTGCTAAAGATTGCTGAGACTGAAAAGCTTTGAAATTCGTTTATACGTTGTACGTTGCGACTCCACATGCGACAGTTCGTGAAAATGAGTTTATAGAGTGGCTAATTCGACAAAATAGAAACAAATATATCGGAAGTATATTCTATTTAACATTGCTACTAAATAGGCGATTTGCATGATGGCGTCATTTGACTACAACTACTAGAATCCTTCCCTTTTTCTGTTTCTTATGTATGATAAGTAGGGAAATTGTTATTTAAACTCCACTTTGGCTACAAACTTACTCGTTTACTGGCCGATTTTAGGGTCCGACACTTGAATATGGCTTACATGATGATTTTTTCGAGATTAAGTAACTTTATTTTGAAATGGAGGAGCTCGTGGAGCAACATTAAAACTCTCTAAAAGATCCTGAAGATGGGTTTTGGGGAGGAAAATAATTCAGAAGGTATCTTGAGTAATTATGAGAGTAATTTTTTGAATTATCTCAAAATTCTAGGCGAGAATTGTAGTTGAACAAACGTTCGTGTCTCTTCGCGTTGGTTCACGCTACAAAGGCAACATGCCTTTCAAATGCGACTAACTACTCTTCGGATGGCCAATTGACCTTTAGAATCTTGCTTCTTTTAGTGAATTGTGTATTGAGTCAATTTACGACGCGTTCAACTCAATAACTTTGAATATGTGGGCGGTTGCCTTGGTCACTGCTTGCACGTAGTCTCAAAAAAAAATCGTAGTAAATTCTAGATTTTCTCGATTTTAGTTTTCGGGATGCGTTTGTTTATATATTATATATATCGGGAAAAAAGTTTTATTCTCATGAAATGTAAACAGCAGAGTTGTTTTACAACATTTTTGAGTTTATCGGAATGTTTTTTTACCTGTTTTGCTAAGTTCTTCTGATTAAAATTTTTTTTAAAGTTATGTTACTTTCCATGAATTCAACATTTTTTTTTTCTGGAAAGTACATTTTGTGTTCTTTCAAATGAGATATAGTAAACTGCATTGCTGTAAATACTTGGCAAGATATCAAATAAAGAATACGATTTGTTAAATTTGCCGGACGTTTTTGGCTCATTATACAGAATTGAGTTAACGATTTACACTGCTCGTGATATTTGAACATACTGGCAAAATTGCGCGTGCCTTCAGGCGAGTGCAATTTGAAAGAATTTTCAAATATCATTGGCAGTATAAATCCTTAATTACTCGAGCTGAGTAGATGAACCTCGTTCGAGTGCTGCCGTTTTCAAGCACGTCGAGCTC